CCCAGAGGAAACATGACTACCTCCTGAGGACTTTAAAGGTTTTCAAGACCTCATTAGGAGGGTGGCCACATTTGTACAAACTCCTGGACATCTTACAAACTCCCATTCTGGGAAGGGTTGCCCATCCCATTAATTAAGCCTTGTTTGAACCTGCAAAGATCCTTTAGCAGACACTGGTCTCCATTCCACCCACTGCCAAATGAATGGACAGATGGTATCAGGTTCCCCAGCAAGAATTTGTGTATTTCTTCACTTATGCCATCCCAGACTCATTAGTGGCAACAGCAACAAAAGAACATTTGAGGCAGTCTCACCCTCAGGCTACCCTGAAGGATAGGGAGTGTAAGAGACTGGACCTATATAGCGAAAAGGCTTACATTACCATGACCCTTCAGATGAGGGTGTGAAATTACAAGGCATTTTTGGCCAAATGCACCTTTATTAACTGCTCCGAATTTTTTTTGACAAACTGCCTGAAGAATATAGGGATCAGTTTTTGGTCATAGTCTCCAAGGTCATCTCACTGCTTGAACGTCTGTCCTGGCAGCTATTGGTGCATCAGATCCTGCATCATTTCTGATGGCTACAGCCATTTCAATGAGACACTCTTTTTGATTCTAGGCCTCTGGCATTCCTAAACAATTAAAAATGCAGTAGAAGATCCACCATTTGAAGGTGCTAAACTGTTTTCTCAGAAAACTGATGATGCAATGCACATGTTGAAAGATTGTCAATCGTTTTGTTTGCTGGGTGTTTACACCCCAGTAACAAAAAGAGGAAGCAGTTTGAGGCCCAGAACACAATACAGATCTTACTACCAGCAGAGATCTCAGGGTGCCTCTAGAAGGAGATCTAAGCCACTTAGATGTCCCCCATTAGCATCATAGACCCTTTTCATCAGACTTTGTTCACTTTGAAGCAGTTTTTTGATATCTCAGTTGATGACTGCATGCTGACTGTGTTTCATCTTCTACATCCAGACCCTCCATTTTGGAAATGTTCTCTCTCTTCTGTAGTGCATGGACGGAGATTACATTGGACCAATAGGTGCTCAGCCCGGTAAGAGAAGAATAGGTTATCGAGTTCATATACTTCCCTTTCCCTGACCCGCCTTCCTTGTCCCTTTTCAGGGACCCATCCCATGAGGTTGTTTTACATCAAGAATTACAGTTTCTATTGGAATTGGGGCCAAGAGAGGAAGTTCCTTGTCAACACATAGGGAAAGATTTCTATTTATGCTACTTTCTGATTCCTAAAAAGAGAGGTGGCCTTCGGCCCTTTCTGGATTTAAGAAATCCAAACCATTTTATCAAAAAGACAGTCAACCTGACATCTATTATCCCTCTCTTAGAGATTAGTATGCTGCCCTCGACCTGCAGGATGCGTATTTTCACATGGCAATACATCTTGGCCACAGAAAGTATCTTTGATTCATGGGAAACAACATGCACTGCCTATACACTGTGCTGCCTGCCAGCCTATCCTTGGCCTAAGGGTATTTATCAAGTGTATGATGGTAGTGGCAGCTCACCTGCACCATTTAGGAGTTAAAATATTTCTCTGCCTGGACAGTAGGCTTGGTCAGGGAAGGTCAGGATCTCACAATCAAAAAAGCAATCTTATCGTCAGACATCTGTTCTTTTGTCCAGATTGAAAACTGAATGTAGAGGAATCAACATTACAAGCAATGCAGCAAGTAAATTTCATAGGCGTAGATCTTGATGCCACGATTCCCATTGCTTACCACCCGACAAACAAGTTCCAGTCCATGGTCTTTGTCAGAGGGCCTCAGTTCCAACCTGAGGACCACAGTGAATTAATGTCTAGCATTGTTGGGTCACATGGCCTAGAGTGCGTGAGTGGACTCAGCATGCCAGACTTTACCTCAGATGTCTGTAGACCTGGCTTCACTTAGCATAGCATCCGGCAAACATTTTCTGGATTTGCTGCTTTGTGTATCTGCCCAAGAGCTTCAGCCCCTGTTAACACCTCAGAATATAGGCAGAGGGGTTCCATTCCTTCCACCAGAACCAATTATGGCTTTTATAATAGATGCGTCCACCAGGGATTGAGGGGCCTATCTGGGTCAACTTCAGGCTCAAGCACTTTGGACATCTAAGGAACTTTCATTCCATATAAATATGCTGGAACTTTGAGCTATTCTTTGGGACTGTGAGATGTTCATTACCATCATCAGGTGGTTCCAGTTCTTACCAAAGACATCACCGATATGTTTTATCTGAACAAGCAGGGAGATGCAAGGTTGTCTCAGCTATGCCAGGAAGCGATCCACTTGTGGAACTTCTGTATAAAGACCAATATCTCACTAAATGCCTTTCACCTCTTGGGAGCGAGGAACTCTGTATTGCAGATTCCCTCATCAGATACCTCCATAGATCATCACGAGTGGTCAATAAAGAGGCCGGTCCGCAGTAGAACCCCATTAGTGGGGTTATCCGATAATAGACCTCTTTGTAACCAACCTGAACAATAACTGCAGGAGGTTCTGTTCTAGGGCGGGTCACAGCCCAGGTTCCATTATCAATGGCTTTATTTTTTTCCCATGTGTTGCCCATGTTTCCTCCAGTTCCTCTGATTCCAAGGATGATAAGAAAAGTAAGACAAAGAACCCTAATCCTCATAGCGCTTGCCTGGCCAAGGCAGTACTAGTGCATGGACGTACAGCAACTCTCCATCTGGCCACCCACACCTCTATCTCTGCTTGAGAATTTTTTGCCTCAAAACCAAGGGAAGTCACTGCACCCTTACCTACAATCTCTTCACCTAACAGTCCTGATGATCTCTGGTTGGTCAATGAGGAGAAAGTCTGCTCCTGAAAAGTCCAAGCTGTTCTGGTGAACAGCAGAAAGGATTACACCAGAGCCATGTAGGAAGCAAAATGGAAAAGGTTTTCAGTCTGGGTGGAATTGCATCAGTTATCTCCTGGTAACACAGAGATTAGACATATGTATGCCAGACTGTTACTGCATCTGAAATCCTCTGGTCTCTCAGCTCTCCATTGAGCATCAATTTCTGCAGTATGCCCATGAGTGGAGAGGTTTTCAATCCTCTGGTACCCATATTTTGAAGGGGTCTTATCCATGTCTACCCTCCAGAGTCTGAACCAGTACCTTCCTGGGACCTGAATTTTAATACTGTCCCATTTGATGAGACCCCTCTTTGAACCTTTGGCAACAACATCCCTGCTGCTGCTGTCAGTGAAAATGATAGGATGTTTGGGAGGGCTCTGACATTTTACCTGCACTGCACAAAGTCTTTCAGATCCTCTTCTAGACTGTTTTGTTGCCTACACTACTGGGGACTGGGTTAAAGGGCAACCTGTCACAGCTCAGCATATTTCACACTGAATTTCAGATTGTATTGAGCTTTGCTATGATCTGGCAAATGTCTCTCTGCAAAGGAAAGCAGCCCGCTCCACTAGGGTTCCTTCCATTTTGTCAGCCTTCTTGAGTAATGTTCCAATAGCAGACATTTTGCAAAGCAGAAATGTGGTCATCTGTACATACCTTCTCCAGATACTGTTACCTCAAGGTTCATGAGGGGACGCCAACTTCAGCCAGTTGGTGTTGCAATCTCTCTTCAAGTTATCTGATATCCACCAGCTGCAAGGAAACTGCTGGTGAATCCCCTGCAGTGGACTGTGTGTGCGCACAGTCGCTCCACGGAGGAAAAAATGGTTACATATCTGTACAGGAACTGTTGTTCTTCCAGATGTGCTGCGCACATGTACATTCTGCGACTCTCCCACCTTCCCCACTACTTTGAGTTTAGCTTACCAGCAGTGCAAAGAAAGGGAGAAGGAGATGGCGATCACACCCCTTTATACCCTTGGTTTGGTGCCTGAAGACAGCAGGGGCACCTGTGCTGCCTGCTGGTATGGCTGGTAAGTCTCCAGCCGGAGTGTGTTTGGTGCACATCCACCTACAGTGGAATGTACAGGTGCACAACTCATCTCGAAGAACAACCGTGACTGTACCAGTAAGTAACTGGGTTTTTGTTATGAGACATTTATATTGCAATAGCTCCTAATGGCCACATTATGCTAGGTGCAGTACAAACACATAACAATGACTACCTACACTAAAGAACTTCCAGTCTAAAAGATGACATCTAATGAGTGGGTGAGCCAAACGAGTAGGCTGGGATCGAAAGCAGGAAAGACAGGGAAACAAATTGTAATAGGAGGAGCGCAAGTTCTTCGTAGTGGTGGGGCTACACTGTGGAGGGCTTTGAAATTAAGGAGAATAAATTTTGTATTTCATGCAGTGGAAGAGGAGGAACCAGTGAAGAGTTTTGAGTGGATTGCTGTAGGTGGAGTAATGAGCCAAGAATGATGATCTTAGCAGCATTTTGGAAGGATGTGAGTTGGGGGAGGATGGAGTTTGGAATTGTCAAAGCCAGAGAAGAGGAGACTGCAGTAGTCAAAGTGCGAAGTGATCAAGGGCTGAACAAGACTTTTTGGCAGTGTGATCAGAGAGGAAAGGTGGATCTTGGAGATATTGTGCAGGAAGAAGTGGCAAGTTTTAGATGTGGCCTGGATGAGCTCAAGTCATTGTGATGTCTGCTGTGACAGAGAAAGAGGAGGGAAGGGAGGTCTTTACGGGAAAAAATCAGGAGCTCTGTTTTGGCCGTGCTAAATTTCAGTTGATGGCAGGACCTCCACAAGGAAATGTCAGAAAGACAAACTAACATAGTTGCTTGCCGGGAGGGAAGGAGATTTGCCAGTCAACCACAGAAAGTATTTGTCAACGGTGATTATAAGAATGGTGCCTGAGATACCAAAGTTTCCATTCATATTTAAAATAAGGAATAATCTAAGGCAACTGCGTAGTATCTGTTGGTTGCCTTTTTAATGTACTGTATTCTGGGAACAATATGAAGTGGCTTTTCAGATCTTTTTCTCAGTTTTTATTTTTTCTCTGAGTCATGACTTTACTAAAACCAAGTCCTTTGTGTTTCCCTCTTGCTTCTGTTTTCAGGACAAGACATTTCAAAGAGAGCATCAAGTTTATCCATGAGTGCCGGCTTAGAGGTGAGAGCTGTCTTGTTCACTGGTACGTATGTCAATTGTTTAAGAATATTCTAATTTTTTTCCCTCCATATTTTTTTTAAGTCTGTGATAAATGAGTGTTGCCCACCCTGCTCTTTTTTAACAATAATACTTCTGCATTTATACAGCACCTCACATCTGAGGATCCCCCGCCAAAATTAAAAACGGTTGTTAAGCCTCGCTCCACTCTGGATATTGAGGCACAGAGAAGTTAAGTGGCTGCCGGAACACACAATGTGTCGGTGGCAGAGCCAGGAGTGAAATCCAGAGCTGCTGACTCCGGTCCCCCACTCAGACCTTGGGACTATCTGTTCCCTGTGTTATATTTTAACAGTAGTGTTGCATCATCTATTTGTCTGATTCATGCTAGTCACCATTTTCTTCTCTCACAGACAGTTCCTGTGATCCTAATAATTTTATCAGTTCCAGTTGCAACTATTTTTGCTGCTTTAGGGCTGCTGGAAATGTTCCTCTCAACAGAAACTGGTGTTTTAAGCTTCACTGAAGCATTCAAATATCACAGCTGTTGCGAGCAGATTACTGATTAGAGAGGGAGTCCTGAGACATTAACTGCCTTCAAAGAGTTAGAATATAGAAAAGGAAAGCCCATCATGGTTTTTCTTACTGTCGTTGCTTGTGGTCCCTGTGCATTGCTGCAATGTCTAACTAGCATTTCAGAACCTGTATCTAGAATCAGGTCCAGTAGTTTGAGCACTGGGCTTGGAGGTAGGAACTCCAGCATTCTAATCCTGTTCTGCCATTGGCTCATTGTGTAGCTTTGAACAAGTCGATTAACCTCTCTGTACCTCGCTCTCTTCATATGTAAAATGGGGATATTGACCTACTTCATGAGGGTGTTCTGAGATGGTTGGTTGATATTGTGCTTTATTGTTTATATTCTTTGAGAGTGTGAAGTGTTAAGTGAGCAAATCTACAACTGTCACTCAAATGTATTCTTTATCTATAGTAATAACACCACTTTTCATCCAGAGCTGTCAAACCACTTGACAGTGGTAGGTTCTCTCGTTCTCCCAGTGTCACAGATGGTGAAACTGAGGCACTGAGAAATAAAGTCACAGAGCATGTCAGTGGCAGACTCAGAAATAGAACTGAGAACTCTGAGTCCTGTGCGCTAATGTTCAACTCTGTCTGAAAGTTTTTAATGAATTTAAACCCAATCTCATTAAAATGAGTCTTTTCCAGCACATATAGATCTGTCTTCTTATTTCATGACCCTATTCTCTCTGGGGGCATGTTTTGTTTTTTATGTCTGGGTGACTCGTATCTAGTTTTTAAGAAAAACAACAAATACAAAATTGTTCTCAGGCTTTCTCATGGAGGCTTTTTATTTGTTCTTTGTTTAAAAAAACTCTCATCTGAACTGAATTTCAGTACAGCTCCTCTCTTGGGGTGCCCATACTGCACGTGGATTCACTTCTCTACATTTCAAAGTCCAGTACATTGACCTAAAGATATTTTAATAGTTATATAGGAACAGCCACCACAATGTGCTCATTACTTTACTTTAATCTCCTTAGTTTAGGTAATATATTTTACCTGGTAAAGTGCTGTGTAAATTTATGATGCTATATGAGACAATGAGCGTATTTATTTTAAGACTTTTTATATTTTGTATCTATTTATTTTGTCTCATTTCTGCTGCAGTCTTGCTGGAGTCTCTAGGAGCGTAACTTTGGTAGTCGCTTACGTCATGACAATCACAGACTTTGGTTGGGAAGATGCATTGTCTATTGTAAGAGCATCGAGATCCTGTGCCAATCCTAATATGGGCTTCCAGAGGCAGCTACAGGAGTTTGAAAAACATGATGTTGACCATGTAGGTGATTTTTGTTGACCAATTTGGTTGCTTAAGCCATAAAGTTTTGGACTGTCTCATAACTTTAGAAGGTTAAAGATTAGAAGATAAATGGCCCAGAATGCAGCAATAATACAAATGTACAAATGATGCTAATGTAAAAACTGTTTTTTCACATCTACCTAGGATGTTCAAGCAAGAAAAAATAGTTTTTTCAAATTAACAATGCTGTAAACAAAACTTGAGATCTGAAAGTCAAGCTGGGTTCTCTTCCTGGCTTATGCATCATCACCAGTAACCAACATTTTGTATCACTGGAACTTAACTAACAATTGTGGGGATGATGCATGAACCAGAATGGAATCCAGCTCCTTCTCCTTGAGCTGGGTTGGTTCTGCAGGGCTAACGGGAGTTTAGAAAAATAGTAATAACCTGTTTTTGTCAATAACATAAACAATACAGCTGAACACACACTGGGAACAGGTCTGTTGAGTAAGGAGGCACTGTTTTTACATAATCACTTTTCTGACCATAACTCCATTTTACATTGCTCAGCACATTTGTCCTCTCTACTTTCTCAAGTCACTCTTTTTTTTTTAAAAGAAAGTAAATGAGGTAGGGAGGTGGCTTCATTTTTCTTCCAGGATTTCTTGCAGCAGAGAGCTGAGAAATTACTGTGGCATTTCAGTAATGCAGTTTTCAACTGTAAATATTTGTTTTTGGAAACTATTTAATTAAATATTTCCTGGATCATTCAGAACTGATATTAATGGGTGGGTAACTGACTTTTTAAGATACAATATAAAGGGACTTTCCAGACTAGTCTCCTTCCTCCCTTATATGAAGGTTTACAGTCATTTCAGATCTAATTGGACTGAGCTAATAACCCTAATTGTCATTGTATATGCAAATAACCTTGAGAAGAGAGTAACGTCTTTTTTTTTTTTTAATGTCACAATGGAAGGGTGCAGCAGTTTCTTCCCTGAAAGGGAGGCACTAGGCTACAAAAAGAAATGCTCACCTGTGGACATAACTTGTTGCAAACGGTTGTATCTCTCAACCACAACTTTTGGGACCAGATCCTCAGCAGATGTGAATCAGTGTACTTCTATTCATTTCAATGGAGCTATGCCAATTTATACCAGCTGAGTATCTGGGCCTGAGTTTTTAATTACAGCACCACTTGTCCATGGTAGCTCTGTACAAAGTATATTGGGGTTTCAGGACATTTGATCCGTTAGATTTGATCTTCTAGGCTTTTAGGCATTGAAGATCCTAACGTGTTGTGTTGTGTATCCTTCATAAATTTCCCTTAAATGTGCCTTAAGTTCTCATCTTTGATATGACTACAATATAAATATATTTTGCTTATTCAGTATGTTTGATCCTGCAAGATGCTGAGCACTATGGTCCTGATCCAGCAAAGCACTTAAGCATGTGCTCAACTTCTAAGACGTGAGCAGTCCCATTAATACTTTTACGACTATTTGCATGCTTCTGAGTCTGTGTTTAAGTGCTTTGCTGGGTCACGGCGCAATTGCTGAGTTTCTTACAGAATCGATCTCCGTATAGTTACTAACTGAATGGATACCTCCAATCTAATATATTTCATACTCTTCCTAAACTTGCCAAACACTACACAGTTGATTAGGAAAGAGTCATGTGACCTAAAATAGTTTTGCCTTCATAGCTAATCAGTGATAGCAGGGCTTAGAGTGGGAAGGTGCTGCCTGCCAGCCTTGCTTTGCCCAGCTGATAGACAGCAGTGGAGCTACAAAAGCAAGAAGAAAGAGCAGGAACCACTTATTCTTTGAGGGCCTCCCCCTCCCCGCAACAGCTGAGCAGAGTAGGAGCAATTGTAATTGTTCCTGCATTGAGGCTTCACTGCCAGGTAAGTGGGAGAGGAGTCAGGGCAGGAAGAAGGAGAGGCAGGTTAAAGAATTTGCACGCATTTGTAATGTGTTTATTTGATACAGCAAGAGATTATATAGGCCAGGTCACCAGCTGGTTGTAAATTGACATGCCTCCATTGAAGTCATTGGAGCTATGCTGACTTATACCTGCTGAGGAACTGGCCTTATGTAAAACGTTGAATGCTTAAAACGCCTGGTTTAGCCACTGATCCCACAAAGACTTATGTACATACTTAACTAGATACACATGAGTAGCCCCATCAACATCAAACTAAGCACATGCATAAATCTTTGCAGAATCAGGATCTGAGGCTGAAGTTGTATCTTTCACACTCACACACTCTGCAATGGATTTTTTTTTTTTTTGGCAGATGCATATTTTACAAAATGTTAAACATTTAAGTTTTCCTTCCCTTCTCCCCACATCCAACTAAACCATTTAAAAAGCACAGTAATGCACTTCCAGGTATGTATTAAACAGCCGATATACTACACCCCGCCCCAGCATTGATGTGTTGAAATAAGAACGGTCATGTTGGGTCAGACCAGTGGTCCATCTAGCCCAGTCTGCCAACAGTGCCAATGCCAGGTGCCTCAGAAGGAATGAACAGAACAGAACAATCGTCAAGTGATCCATCCCCTGTCGTCCACTCCCAGCTTCTGGCAGGTCAGAGATTTGGGGACACCCAGAGTATGGGGTTATGTCCCTGACCATCTTGACTAATAGTCATTGATGGACCTATCCTCCATGGACTTATCTAATTCTCTTTTTAACCAGTTATACTTTTGGCCTTCAGAGCATCCCTTGACAATGAGTATATCGTGTGTGTAAAGAAGTACTTCTTTATGTTTGTTTTAAACCTGCTGCCTATTCATTTCCTTGGGCGACCCTTTGTTCTTGTGTTATAAAGGGGTAAATAGCACTTCCCTACTCACTTCCTCCATGCCAGTCATGATCGTATAGACCTCTCTCCTATCCCCGCCCCCTTAATCGTCTCTTTTCCAAGCTGAGCAGTCCCAGTCTTTTTAATTTCTCCTCCTATGGAAGCTGTCCCATCCCCCTGATCATTTTTGTTGACCTTCTCTGTCCTTTTTCCAGTTCTAATACATCCTTTTTGAGATGAGGCAACCAGAACTGCAGGCAGTATTCAAGGTGTGGGTGCACCATGGGTTTATCGAGTGGCATTGTGATGGTTTGTGTATTCTTTTCTATCCCTCTCCCCTAAGGGTTCCCGACACTCTAACTTTTCATCATAGATTTTTTGACTGCTGCTGCACATGGAGCAGGTGTTTTCTGAGAACTAGCCACTCAAACTCCAGACTCTTCCTTGAGTGGTAACAGCTAGATTAGACCCCCTAATTTTGTATGTATTGTTGTGATTATGTTTTCCAATGTGCATTATTTTTTATTTATCAGCACTGAATTTCATCTGCCATTTTGTTGCCAAGTCACCCAGTTTAGTGAGATCTCTCCGTAACTCTTTGCAGTCAGCTTTGGACCTAACTGTCTTGAGTAATTTTGTATCATCTGCAAACTTTGCCACCTAGCTGTTTGCCCTTTTTCTCGATCATTTATGAGTATGTTGAACAGCACTGATCCCAGTACAGATTCTTGGGGAACTCTGTTATTTGCCTCTCTCCACTGCGAAAACTGACCACTTATTCCTACCCTTGGTTTCTTATCTTTTAACCAGTTACTGATCTTATAGCACCTTCTTTCCTATCCCATGACTGCTGACGTTACTTAAGAGCCTTTGGTATGGGATCTTGTCAAAAGTTTTCTGAAAGTCCAAGTACGCTGTATTAACTGGCTCATCCTTGTCTGCATGTTTGTTGACAGCCTCAAAGAATTCTTAGATTGGTGAGGCATGATTTCTCTTTTCAAAAACCATGTTGACTCTTCCCCAGTATACTATGTTCATGTTTGTGTCTGATAGAATCATAGAATATCAGGGTTGGAAGGGACCACAGGAGGTCATCTAGTCCAACCCCCTGCTCAAAGCAGGACCAATCCCCAATTTTTGCCCCAGATCCCTAAATGGCCCCCTCAAGGATTGAACTCACAACCCTGGGTTTAGCAGGCTAATGCTCAAACCACTGAGCTATCCCTCCCCCCAAACTAATTCTGTTATTTACTATAGTTTCAAGCAGTTTGTCTGGTAATGAAGTTAATTGCCTGTAATTGCCAGGATAGTCTCCGGAGCCTTTCTTGAAAATCAGCATTACATTAGCTATCCTCCAGTCATCTCGTACAGAGGCTGATTTAAGCAATAGGTTACATGCCCCAGTTATCAGAGTAGCAGCCGTGTTAGTCTGTATCTGCAAAAAGAAAAGGAGGACTTGTGGCACCTTAGAGAGTAACAAATTTATTTGAGCATAAACTTTCATGAGCTACAGCTCACTTCATCGGATGCATTCAGTGGAAAAAGCTTATGCTCAAATAAATTTGTTAGTCTCTAAGGTGCCACAAGTCCTCCTTTTCTTTATACCCCAGTTAGTAGTTCTGCAATTTCATATCTGAGTTCCTTCAGAACTCTTGGGTGAATACTATCAGTTTAATTTGTTAATTTATTCTAAAACCTCCTCTGTTGATGCTTCTGTTTAGACAAGGACACCATGATTGTGAATAGTTCCATAATTTACCTTTGTGACATTTAAATTGGTAAAAATGGCCATTACTTTGCCAGTTCTTCCGCCCAAAGTGTGCTTGTATTTGTGGACAAGCACGTGCTGCGGGAGTCCCTTATTCTAAATTTAGAGCCCAATTCAGCAAAACACTTACGCATGTGTGTAACTTTTTACGCGTATGAGTGGTCCCATCGACTTCAATGGGCCGACAACTATGCTTCATCACACGTTTTTAAGTGCTTTGCTGTTTCAAAGCCATATAGTGCAGTATTTGGGGCACTCTTCTTTAGACAATCAGGGTTAGACTGTAAAAGGTTTAAACTATGTGATTTGGACATTATTTTGACTACTTTAATGTTCTTGAAAAAGATGTTATTTACTATTAAATGATGGTGTAAGAAGAGTGTTCTTTCTGCATCCGGTTTGTGTTAATAACTAGCATATCTACTATGTGTTTAACTTCTCCAGTTCAGGCAGTGGCTGAAGGAAGAATATGGAGAAAATTCTTTGCAGGATGAGCAAGAAGCCAAAGTTCTTCTGAGTAAATATAAAGAGCAGGCAGTGACGCAACCAAGTCCTGGTGGGAGACAGTGGAATAATAACTTTTCCTCACTGCCTTCCCTGTCATACAACAACTACACAACAGAGACCTAATCACTCCAGGCTGGATTCACTTTCTTTTTTCCTTTGACCTGTTTAAAAACAGATGTCACCAGTTTCCCCTCCACTCTCTACAGAAGTCATGCGAGCTGTACCCTTGTGGAAAACGTGATGAAAATACTATACAGCGTGTGTGTGTGTGAGACACAATTTTACAGTTTTATGTAACATCACTCTCTGTAAGCTTCCCTGCAGAGAGGCACCCTTTATGTCAGGTTCTCACTGCCCTCAAACTCCATCCCCTTCGTAATATGTGCCTCTCTAAAAGACACTCGTATGCGCATGATAACATTGTCTCCAAAGAATGAGCTTCCAAAGTGTGTGAGTACTTATGCATTTTTTGCTTGTGCTGCGGGTTGCCGTTCGAACTTAGCTACCTCAAAAATGCTGTTCTTGTCACTGAGGTTGTAAATGCAACTTTGAAAATTGCCTCGTATAATCTCAATTTTACACTTGATGAATGCAAAGTGTGTGTGTCATAAAAAAAATTTGAGAGGTTTCTGGTTTTCATTTAAATTATTCATAGTTGTCACTGGTTTGAATTAAAAATTAAGATGTGTGAATTCCATCTATTTTGCCAATTTAAAACCAGTGGTCAAGTTTGTCAGAGTGCACATGTAAACTAAATTTTAAACCAAAGTAAAAAACTAGAGGCCAGATTCTGCTTCTGGTTATCCTGGTATAAATCTGGAATAGCTCAGTTGTAGTTATTCTGGATTTACAACAGTGTAACTCCAAGCAAATTACTGAAGTTGTTCCAGTTTTACACTGGTGTTATGGTGAGGAGAATCCTTACTTTTAGTCTTTGATTCAGAGTATGTAGGGGTATTGCTTAAAGATTCCAGAACAGAAAAGGATGCTCTCCCAACCTGCAAGGACATTTCAAGTGTATACTGTGGATGACTTGGACATTCAGTAAGAGAGAGATTCAGCACACTGTACTTAACCAGAATTTTTTTTATTTCATGTCCTATGACACCCTAACTTACAAACATTTAACGTGGTCCCCTTGATGCTTGCTGCCAATGTCTTCACACAATGATGAACTCTGGGATGGACTGGAGACGGACTGTAGGGGTAAAGTAAGCCCCAAAATATTTTTGACATCTTATCCATTTTAATGGAATGGAAAGTATGGATATTAAAAATCCATTAACGCAAAAATTAGGATTTACATTACTACTATATTCCATCTCAGTCTGCACCAGAACTTTATGTTGTGGGCCTTATCGCACCACACAGTGCTAGTATATTACATATGGTCAGAACAAATTGTTACTCTGTTGGTGGCAGGTGTTGGGATATTGTAGACGTGGAAAAGTCTTAACTTTTGTTTCTAACCTAATAGCTTGCTGAATACCATGTGTGCATGTTACTTAATCTTTGCAGACCACCATCGTTCATAGATAACACTTGGCTAGCAGGCAAACAGGAGACTATATGAATTTCAATAGGAGACAGGTTTAGTAATTGCCCAAGACAATACTACCTTCTATGCATCCAACTGATGGAAGCTTCCATTCACGGTCACTAATTTTTGTAGACTGCAGACTTTCCTCTTTGTAAAAGAGTCTTACACACAAGATTGAGAATGATGAACTCAAACCTGTATTCACAATAAGATATGTATAGCATTTTTGGCACATGTACCAAAAAAAGACACAGTTGTCAAAAGTATTCCAAGTATTTACAGCAGAAGTAAGTCTGTGTGTGTGTGTGTACACAACATACAGTTGTATATACCAATGTTAACTGCATATGACACATGTTCCAGAATGTGGTGTTGCATTTCTTTTTCCACAGCAACACTGTGGGTGCTGAAAAATTTAAAGTTCCTTTATGCTGAGAACAGTTGGAGACATCTGCTAATGTGTTGTGTTCAGGTTTGTTCTTTGCTTTTTTGTTTTAATTGGCTGGTTGACTTCCAAAGTGTCAACCTCTGAAACAACATTTGATGCCTGCATAGTTGACATGTCTCAATAGCCATAAAGCCCACACACTTGTGAAGCTGCAACTGGAAAGCAGACTCAAGAGTAAAGTAAGAAGATCCATAGGTGGGAACTGGAGTGTTTGTTCCCAGCACACACACTTTCTCTTTAATGGACCAGAGGAAGGTATCTGCATAGATACTTTTAGCTGGGGTAGAGTAGATCTTCATCTCCCTGATCTTCAATGGTTGTGTATTACCCTCCTAAACCTAGGCCACAATTGCACCATCCTCTCCTTCAAGAGAGTAGAACAGAATTAAGGGAGAGAGAGGGCAACAGCAGCATAGGGAAGCCTGGGCTGCCCTGTCCATGTGGGGAGTGGGACAGTAGGATCCCCTGCATTAGTAAGTTATCAAGGCACAGAAGGGATGGCAGTCGCACCTAAACCTTCCTCCGCTCCTTTAAGAAAGGAGCGAAACAGACATTGTCCAGAAACATAACACAATCTCTTCTCTTACCAGCCTTCCAGTGACAGCTTAAAGGGCTAATTGACTATGTGGATATATAATTATCCACCAGAGGACAGTCAACATTCAGGTGATTGACTTTAGCAGTGTAGACTGTGTCCAGTTTTTTCACATACTTTCTGTATTTGTATTTCTAAGCCTCTCTGCTTTATTTTGCCTTCCACTATCAAATGCATGAAACTTTTTAACAACTTATTGAGCATCCTGATTTACACGGATAACGTACTATTTTGTAAACTTAATATTTTTTTGTGACTGCAAGCAAACATTTTAGCATGATTCTACAGGTTACTTCATAAGTATTTTACCCTGATTTTAACCTGGAAACAGTTGTTGCTTTGATTATTTTTCTGGGGTGATTGGAAAACTATTATGGCAAATTCTAACTTTAAAAAAAACAAAACAAAATGTTTATAATGGTCACTGTATATTACTACGTCAGTGAAAGATTACAGTAAATACTTCAGCCAGTTAGGAACTATAAGCCCAGTAAGCTTGGTTCTCTGTCTTCCTTTTGGCATTCTAATAAAGCCTCATCTTTGGTTGCTTTTCTCGATGGTTTGTATTTAATAAGTTCTACAATTTTCTGTAAATAAAAGTAAATGTTAATAGCCTATCTGTGTATTTTCTTGAAAGACCTAAATTAATATTCTCTGCTAGATCCCTGGTCCTTGGCTAGCATCCCTACTGTTTACAAACAGAGCCTACCATGAACTGATTCACTCTGGTGTTCAAGTGAAGTTGTGCTTTGCATCACAGAGCTCTCTGCAGCCCAAGAAGGATCTCCTGAATCCTTCCATGGGTTCATTGATCTCGGCCAGGTGAGTCAATGTCCCTCTCCCCTCCCCCCCCCACTCACTCCACCTGTTTTTAAAAAAAAAAAAAGAAGGGAAGGGAAGGGAGTACTAGCAAATGCTTTTACTCTGAACAATGGAAGCCTTGCTAAACTTGGTCACTGTAGTGCCACTGTCTGCCGTACCCGGGCTGTAAGAGTCTGAATTCTTGTCAGTGTTCAGCCAATTAAAGACCAGCGTGAAAACTGCCTTGAAACTGAAAATCAGGAATCCCGGTGTTAATGTATATATTTAAATAGCTCCTGTGCTCTGCTTAGTGTATTCCCATGTTCCTTGAAGTCTTTAAACCATGATTTGAGGACTTCAGTAGCTCAGCCATAGGTGAGAAGTTTATTGCAGGAGTGGGTGGGTGAGACTCTGTGGCCTGCATTGAGCAGGAGGTCGGACTAGATGGTCCCTTCTGACCTTAGTATCTATGAATCTATGTTCCCCCTTCATATAAGTAGCCTGTCTGGAACTGGTTATCACTGCAGTAGCAGACAACTGTTGCACGCAGTTCCCCAGGCAGCTGAGAGCTAGAACAAGACATGCAGTGACTTGCTGACATTTTCCCCTTTGGCATGTATTCTTTTCCTAGTATGCTGCTGTTTTAGCTGTTCATTCAACTAACTGTATTTTACCATGTGTTGCAGTGTGGCAGTGCAGTGGTATTTCTTGCTTCTACTAACGTAGCGCCTAGGAGCTCACTGTGCTAGTTATAACCCACATTACCACAATGTGGGTCTTCGTTCACCCTCTAGTGGCTGGTCCATCTAAGAGGCTGATGAATCAGACCCTTATGGGACAGTCATCACAAAGTGTATTCCATTTACAATATATGAAATGCGTTAAACAGTTAAGCTTCCCAGAACTGCCGAATTAACTCAGATAGTTTTTATGGCACTAAGATATTATTGCTTCATAACTGGTCAGTAGTCTTTGGGAAACCAAAACTATTGACCAGTTTAGCCATTGCCTAAGACATGGCTTCATGGTTTAAAACAAATGAACTTCGGGCCAGATCTACACTACAAAGGTTGGTTGGGTATGGGGGGGAAAAAACCCACACCCCTTAACCGGAATAGCTATGCTTCCGAAACTTCCAGCGTAGATGCGGCTATGCTGACGTAAGAGTTGCATTTGTCGTATAAACAAGATGTTGGTCCCAGAGAATTTTGAGGCTCTGAAACATTTAATGCAAAATTTGATATATTTCAACGATTTTCAGATATCGGGTCTGATCCAGAGCCCATTGCTGGGACTGCTCACATGTTAAAAGTAAAATTCATTTGTAAGTTCTTTGCTGAATTGAGCCAGAGCCCAAGTCAGCTGGGGAGTTAGCATGATTCCATAATATTGATTCATTTTATTATTTATTCCTTTGTGAACCACAGCTTTTTCAACATAATCTGTTCTAGCACTGAGTTTTAGGGCCTGATTTTTCTCTCATCTACACCATGGTAGGCAATAAGAAATCAAATGAAAGGACACCAGTATGAGGAGAGAATTGGGGGCCTTAATCTGTTTCGCCAATGTAATGCTATACTTTCCATGAATTTGCAGTCCTCTAAGATGTGTATTATCTGTGAATTTGATTTGCGTACCTTCCATTCCATCTTCCATGGTGTTAATGAAAAATGTTGGACTTTATCAGACCCAGAACTGACTGCTGCATGACTCTATTCAATGCCAACTGCTAACTTGACCATGAATCTTTAATAATTATTCAGTATGAGTGTGAGGTGCATCCTCTTCTATATCACTGACTATAAAATAACCAGACACCAGTGATCATTTTCATCTCCCCACCATCCTCTTCTCACTTAGGAAGATTAAGATGATGTGTCCTAGGTTACTGGGATCTTAATAAATCAAAGCACTGAGCCTCAGTGTTGCTTTATTGCTCATATTAGGACTGCATGACAGTACTCACTAAACTTCCCATGTCCTGTCTTTAGCATACAGGGGGCTAAATGTGACAGTGGGGTGATTCTTTTGAGGGCAATGTCTCAAGGCATTGATGATGATTTTATAGAATCCCCTGGAGATGTAAATATGTGACTGTTACAAAGTTAGTTATTTATAAATTATATTCTCAGCAGAACTTTAAATATGGTTCTTGCTTTACCACATGGGCCGAGCTCATTTAAATTAAACGATCTGTGACTAAACTTTGTAGCTCTCCAATATTTTTCTCTTATCCTTTGACAAGTGGGCAAATTCTTGTCTGAACATCTGCAAGTTTAGGTTTGCATTTGCTGTAGCTAATTATGCAAACTGCAGTTTACAAAGAGTTAATCACTCACAAGTTGCAAGATTACATACTGTAGCTTTCGTGTAGTTTCTAGTACAATTATTAGGAGTTGTCACCTAACAGTATAAGCAGGTGCATTATTACCATGGAAATACAGCAGAGCTCATAATCCTAATGAAAGGTCAAAGTCTTCCTGAGATAAACCTGGTCCAGCTTCATCAAATTAAGGCAGAATTAGGTTGCTAATATAGATTTTTCAGATGGTTTTATTCCAGCTTCTATTCCAGGTGCATTTCTCATACATAAAAAATTGTATCCTCCAGTTTGCATCTCCAACGAATTATGAATAAAAAGTTGTAGTGTCTTTGTAGCTGTTAGTCACAGGATATTAGAGAGACAAGGTAGGTGAGGTAATATCTTTTATTGGACCAACTTCTGTTGGTGAGAGACAAGGTTTTGAGCTTACACAGAGCTCTTCTTCAGGTCTGGAAGACTTACTCAGTGTCGCAGCTAAATACAAGGTGGGATGAATTGTTTAGCATAATCTGTTCCATCTTGTATTTAGCTGCGATGCTCTGAGTACGTTTTCCAGACCTGAAGAAGAGCTTGGTGTAAACTGATCAAATATTTTGAGATTGACCTCTAAACTACTTGGCTTCAGGTTCAAACATGTAGTTCAATATGTCTGCTGCTTGGGCCAACAGATAATCAGGGGTGCAAAAATATAGCCTAAGTTTTGTGCACATGCATTTACTGGAGGTCCTGTTTGAAAATCTGTGTCTAGGTTGCGTTAAAAGGCAGTGATGTTTGTTTTGACTATTCAGACACAAGGAAGAGAATCTTTGCTATGACTACCTTTTTAATAAGTGAATTCTAAGTAACTTTTTCCTTGTTAATTTAAATATATATTTTTTTAAATTCTGATGTTTATCCCAGGACCCCTGAGATAGGTTAACTAATGCAAATGCCAGCATACTATACAGTTTTGCAAGATCTCTTATTTGTGTCTGTGATGGGATATATCTGGCCTTTGCGGCTTCCTACAGGAGTCCCCTTGCTTCTGCTACATCTTTCCCCAGGAAGCACCGAAATGACAGGAAAAGAGCAGCAAAGGCCTGCCTAGAGGCCTCATGGATGCAGCCAGTTGGAGCCCAGAAGGCTCCGATAAAAGGAGCTGCAGGGCCTTAGCAGGTGAGTTCCTGGCTGGGCAAGGAAGGGTGCTCCTCTCTGGCCAAAGGAGCTTGATGGATAATGAGAGTTTTTCTGGCTGCATTTGCTTGATCTGGGTTTGCAGGGCACGAGGACCTAAGAACCTTAACACTGAGGTAAGGGTGGAGCTAAAAGGGGCTAGGTATGGAGGAGGCCCAGGGAAGCAGCAGCAACAAACTGAAGTCAAGCAGGGCATAGCTGCTGTTTATAGGGTCCCTGGGTTGGAACCTGGAGCAGTGGGTGGGCCTGTCTACGAACCACAGTGGCATAAACCCCAAAAGGGCACAGGTCTTATTTGAGAGCCCAAAGAAAGGGGTGAATTTAAAGGGCCTAGAGCTGGAGTGGAAGACACTCACAAGGGCAACGGGACTGTTCATTTATTGAACTCTTTACTACCCCAGAAGGGGTTCATTTGGACTGTGAAACCAAGCCAGGGAAGATTCACCAAGGTTGGCTGGCAGCCTGCAGTGGGCATGAGGGGTGAGAAAAGGACGGTGGTACTACACCCAGCTGCTAGGAAGCACTCAAGAGGTGAGTGCTCCCTTTACAGTATCACTAACATTTAATACAACTGAATATATTTGCCATGGAGCATCTTGCAAACTTTGTATGCTGTTGCTCTGTGTACACTAATGCCTGAAGTACAGACAGTCCTTTGACGTCTGTGGACCTCATTTACAACAGTCATGTGCCCAGTAATGGCTCTCACAACACTGGATGTTAGTTTGCTCTTAAGAGGGCATGTTGACCCACAACATTGCTGAGGTTGTCCCTGACCTGTTTTGAAAAAGAGCCATAGGATCCTGAACTTCTACCTGAGATGTCGGAGAGATTTTGTTTGAATGACCCACCCAAAAGTTGGTTCTAGATTACATAATGATTTTAAATAGCATTTCACTCTGTTGTGATCAGCTTATTGATTATCCATATATGCTATAGAGAAAGTTATGCAGTGGCGCTCTCATAGATCCAGCTTAAGAACACAAGAATGGCCATACCGGGTCAGACCCGTGGTCCTTCTAGCCCAGTAATCCTGTCTTCTGACAAGGGTCAGTGCCAGATGCTTCAGAGGGAATGAACAGAACAGGGCAATTATTGAGTGGTCCATTCCCTGTCTTCTAGTCCCAGCTTCTGCCAGTTGGAGGTTCAGGGACCCCTGGAGCATGGGGTTCTGTTCCTGACCATCTTGGCTAATAGCCATTGATGGATCTGTCCTCCATGAACTTACCTAATTCTTTCTGTTTTGCATCCTGCTTGTGATCAGTACAGAGTGGTGCACCATATTCTGAGCAAATGCAGAGATGACCTTGATATAGCC